AATATCTGAAATAATTGACTGTCAGCTATAGGCATCTTTATTTGAGATGAGATCATCCATTCAGTAATCAGTGAAACACTCCATTTCAGCTGCCCCTTGACAGCTTTACAATATACTAAAGTGTTTTGTCTAACTTTTAAGTATGCTTGGTCTTACTGACGTGCCTTTTAATGTGTTGGTGTAGGATGGGACTATTGAATTGTCTTTCTGAATATGCAGTTTTTCTGATAAAGATTCTGTTTTGAAAATAAACAACTAAACTTTGCTTTCATGTTGGCATGTTGCTTGTAGTGTCTGCAGGGAAGCTCTCAGCTACTTCCTCACTTTGACTTCAGAGAGTCACCGGGAAGCTTGGACTAGCCTTTTACTTTTATTCTTAACAAAGGTTCTGAAGATAAGTGATGATCGGGTAAGTAAGCCTTCTGAATGGTTAGGGCAAGAGTAGGCAGTTGAAGTGTTGGTAGACTGCAGCATACTGACAGGAAACTTCCATGGCGTCTATAAGAGTCCGTCTGATGTTAATATTTTATTAGAATCGTTTTATCTGAAAGCAAGGCAGGAGGAGTAGCTGGTGTGCTGTGAAACAAAGTATCAAACTATATTTACTATAATGGCTCTTTTTATATGACAACCATTTGTGATTGTGCCACTGCTATGTTCTCTAAATTTTAAATATGCCCGCTGTCCCAGAAAGCTCACTTTCTCCTGGAGTAGCTAATGTTAAAAACTGATTCTAGGCTTTCTTGTATAAAATTCTGTAACACTGCAAACTGTGAAGCTGGAGGGAGTAAGAGCACTTAAGTCTGGTTATGGATGAATGTAGAGGTCCTGATTTATGATTTTTGACCATGGGCAAAATTTAGTCTTGTCCTGATGCTCTTTCTGGACAGCAGTTGCTTTATCCTGGTACATCTCTCATGTAAAACTAGTTTGTACAGGTTCTTTATAATGATATTCATTTTTACATCAGTAGTGGCAAGCGTTGCCTGTAGGTTACGTGATGATATTCTGGGATTCTTAGAGATTTCTTTCAGCATCTTGCATTCTGCTCTTGGGCTGAACTTGCTGGGACAGCTAGCTTTGGCAAGTTGCAATTGTTTGAAATCTTCTCCTTGTAGATGATCTTCTGAACAGTGGAACAATCGATGTCCAATTGGAAATCTTTTTAAATTCCTTCCCAGACTAATAGGCATCTATAACCTTCTTTCTAAAGGTTTTAGAGAGCTCTTTCCATGTAGGTATGATACCACTCACTTTAACTATAAAGAGCAAATCAAACTAATTATTCACTTGGACAAGTTCCTCCCAGATCTAATCATTTATACAAAAATCTAGTATACCTGTTTATAACTGAAACGCATGTTAATAGTGTGTAGTGATAAATATAGAGGCAACCTTTTCACATGCAAAATTTGCGTGTATGTTTTTTAAGTTACAAAATAGACTACAAAATGTAAATGGTTTATTATATTTGCTATATTATATCCTTTTATGTATCAATATGGTTGGAATGCAGTACAAATATCTATATACCGAAATACATTGAAAACGTCAAAAATTTCAATGGGGTGCACTTAACTTTTTCATGACATGTTAGATATTGCTGACAATTCCCAGTAACACTAGTCAATATGACCAATAGTGAGGGATAATAAAAGGTATTAATTAATATATTAATTAAAATTTATCATGTTGCTTGTATGTATACTGAGAGCTTATGCACTAAAGACAAATTCCTTGTGTGTTCAATCACACTTGGCCAATAAAGAGTTCTAAAAGTAAAGAACTATGCATTCCCATCTCTTGCCAGATTCTATTATCACATGTGTATAATGCGTCCTCATTAATCTGGAAAAATAGGAAACGTTTTTCATGTATTTCAGTTTATGCTCAGATAAACTGAAGCCTTCATGAGGGCACTAAATATAAAGAATCTCACAAATCTTTCCCTGAGAAAAAATCAGTTTTCCAGATGTTGGTGTTGGACTTCTTTTCATTTCAAAATATAATATAGCTATGGTACATCCCTTGTAGATTGTTCTGTCAGTAGTAGATCAATTCTAATTCCAATGTTGTGGGCCACAGACTCCAGTTGAACTCAAGCTTGAAGGAATAAGGAAGGATATTTTCCTTTCTTTCCAGGGATTGAACCCAGTTTTTTTTCCCTTACAACAGATCATAATTGTCATAATTGATCCAGTTTTAGGATCAATTCTCCTCCATCGCTAAGGAATAAAAACATTCCAATCCATTTATGTCATATTGCCATTTGCCTTCTTTTTTTCTCTCCTGGTATCAGTACTCCAGTGCTAATAAGACCATGCACATTTGTTTCTTCAGAAAAAGGGATGAGGGATCTGACACCTAGATAATTCTAATTGTAATGTTTTAATTAGTGCATTTACGCATTCCAAAACTTAATGTCTGACTGAATTCTTTTTTCCCTTAGTTCAAAGCTCATGCATCTTTCTACTATCCTCTTTTGTGTGAAATAATGCAATTTGATCTGATTCCTGAGCTCCGGGCTGTTTTGCGAAGATTTTTTCTACGGATTGGAGTTGTTTTCCAAATATCTCAGCCAGCAGATCAAGAGGAAGATGTAGCCAAGCAGTAAAAGCATAACTAAGGAAACAAAGAACCAAATCAACTTGCACTGGATGTTCATAATGAGGGTCTCTATATGGCAATGTGTGTATGTACGGGTTCACAGTATAGAGTAAAGCTGTAACTTAGGCTTGCAAAACTTTTAATTCTCCAGTGGATTCTTCTTCCTCTCTTTCCTGGCTTATGCTGAGCATTGAGCCAGTTTTAAACAGTCTTATTGTCAGCTTGGACTGTGATGTCCTCTTATTCAGACATACATACATATTATGTGTATGTGTGTGTGTATGTATGTTTATGATGGCTGTGAACTTAAGATATGTACCCAAAGAACTAACACTTAAAAAGTTTGAACTTCCATAGAGTACAACTCAGGAGAACGGTATTTGAAAGAATGGTTTGTATTGAGAGCACAGGAAAATACTAGGTAAGAGATCTAGCAACTTTATGGAATTCTTACTCTGAAAAAAAAAATCTGCACACTCAAGCTGAGATATAGGTAATCATTCTTCAATAAAAAAACATAAGAGTGCAGGTCTGTAATATAAAATTACAAACACTATATAGTTCTTCCTGCATTCTTTTATTATTTCATAGAAACCCATACATTTGTTTACCAAATGCACTAGTCTGAGTTTATGTTGTGATTGATTTGGTCTGTATCCTAAAAGTTAGTCTTGCTAACTTTAGAGAAGGGCAGAGATTGAAAAAAGTCACAACTGGCTTAATTGTTTGTAATATACCTGTGATAGGGCTTTTAAATATAACAAGCCATTGCAACGATCCTTCTGGGCTGGAACTTGAATCACTGCAAATGAGTCTAGGTTTTATCTTATGTCACCTTTTGGGGGGGGTTATTTGATGTAGATTTCACTCTGTACAGAATGTAATGTTAAATATATTCAAGTAACAAATCTGGCATGGTTTAGGGACGGTTTTAAATTTATTGGAAATGTATTCATACTGTGAATTGTGCTCTGATGGTTAAAGAAAAGATTGTCAAGCATTCTGTCTTACAGTGGATGTAGAAAATTTTTTCAGATGGAAAAATGTATATGGTACAGCTCTGTAAAGTTTTCTATGTAAATTCTGTACAACTTTCTGTACAATATTGGTTCTCATCTGGCATATTCTAATCAGGTTATAAGTCAATAAAGTTTTTGAATTCTTTCATCGGTGCAATGAAAACCAATGCAATGTAAAACTACTTGTTTTAATGTTTCAAGAAACTTAAAAGTTTAACAATGATGGTTAACAGTGCTGAAGCAGATTGCCTTCAGCATGTTTGCAAGTGATTAAAGAATTTAACTTAATTCAAATATCATTCCTTCTATTTTTCAGTTCAAATCTTCCTATGTTGGAAAAGCTGTAGCCAAATCAAGACCTAGGACAGTATTCTGTCTCATATACAAACGGCAGAACTGAAGGCTGCCTCGAACTGGCCCCCATGCAAAAGTCTCTCCAATAACTAGACAAGAAACAAGACAGGGCTGATAACTGCAAATTTCTGGTAGTTGATCAAGACTAGTAGCTTCATCATCCAATAAGTGGCTTATCTGTTATACAGAGTAGAAAAGGCAAGCAGCAGCTTCCCAGCCTGTGATGAGAACAAGACTGCTGGATCTTTACTATCTTATAGCCATAGGGTAGCTATAAAAAACTGAAGGATTTCAAATGAGGCAGAAGAGTGACCCTACTCTGAGAAAATACTGTTTCCTTGGGAAAACTGGTGTAGTATATCTCTTTCCTCTTTGCTCTCAGCAATTGAGGACAGGAGCTAAACTTATTACGAAGTACTTTTTGGACTTCAAATGAGAGACTCAATAATCCTTCCCTATTTGGAGGGGAAAGGATTAGTAACCAATGAAGTTGCCAATGACTGACATTGCAAATTACTATATTTTGCTATTATAGCTTCTGTTCTGTATATTTGCCTAAAAGCAATTGTTTTTTGTTACAATTAAATGTTCAATGAAAGAGAACTTGAACTACATCCAGATGAAGGATAAGGAAAAAGTTATATTTAAGTGATCAGAAAATTCTTCATGGTACCTTTTTCTATCCATCTAACCTTCCAGAATTTATAGTTGGGAAATTGATCCTTGTTGGAAGAGTCCATTTTAATGGTATATTACATATACTATTAAATATTACGTGTAACATACAATAAACACCTTGCAAAGTTACACAAAAAAGAGCTTATGTTGATCAGTCCCTGCAGTTTTGCCTTCAGCCAGTAACATTTGTATTTTTTCCTTCCAAATAAATGTGAAGGGGTTAACAAATCAACAAATTTGTATTAGACTTAATACAGTTCAGTTAGAATTTAGTTCAACAATGAAATTCAGCCCACATGCCATTTCTACTGCAATGAGAAAAAAGCATCAAGGAAGCTCCAGAGCTTTCATTATTAAAGAAAATTTATTCATTTCACAAAATATCCATCTTCACAAATACTTCATTAGAATCCTGATAAAAATATAATTTATTTTGTCATCTTAAGTCATGAACATAAATACATTTATAGAATTCACTATTGACATTTGAACACACATATACACATAAAAATATAAAAATAGCATTTTAGAACAAATGATTGGATAAGACTTGTGGGCTAGAAGTAAAGCAGCAATGAATTTAAATCCTGGATAATCCCTAAACATCTATTACATGTCTAAGAACAACAAGCCACAGTATTTTATTTGATTACATTCAGGTCATATTTCTCAATCTTGCAGAAATCTGAGGTAATTTTTGAGAGAGAAAAATAATTCAGAAATAAACTTGAAAATTTTTGCTTCAGTACCATTAAATGTACACTAAATTGTATATTTAGCTATATTCTGAAGCTTTCATGAAAATTTACTGTGGGAATATATTTCCAAATTTAGATGTCATCAGTAATGTATCGATAATTGACCAAAGGTAGGCATTGTTTTTACAATCAACTATGAATATAAAAGTGCAATAGTGAAGAAACTTTTGAAAGGCACAAACAGCTTTACCACAGGTTTATTTAGCCATGGGCAGTTGACAGCCCCTGCCAATTGAATGTTATCCTCTTCTCAGAAGTGGGTTTAGCTTGACTTGACTGCTCAGCCATGAGTCTTTTAAAGGTTTCTGATGTCCCAGGTCTAAGCCACAGCTCAGTTGCCACAGAATCAATCGAACTGGGTCTTCTGCCATACCTAGGAAGTAATTCCTTCAGGATGTCATCACCATTCCCCAGTGAAATGTCATCAGCTTGAGGAAAAGAAACAAACTTTAATATATGATGTCATATGTGGTATCCTACCATATATTTCAGTGACCAAATTATTCATTCTGAAGTATTACAGAAGACTTCTGTAGAATAAAAATGCAGCAAGGCCAGCACAACTGTTGCCCAATCGGGATACTTCAGATTTTCAATATTTCCTTTAGAATAAGGAAATATTTAACACAGAGGAATGAGAAATGGCATTTCTAAGGTAAGTATGAAGGTGATCAAGACCAACTACACACTATGCCTTAAAATAACACTAGAGGATCCAACTCTCTTTTTTCCTGTATTTCTTACATTAGAGATACTTCCGTATGCAAAAGTTTAGGCATTCCTGGTCAGGTAGGGATTTCATGATCAATTTGAAAGATTGTTTCAGATTGACTTGCTGAAATAACCAATCTCTCTTCAGGTTTCAATTTCTTGCTGACCGGTGAAAACTAAGAAAAAAATTCTGCTAGAATGGCCTGAAAACTAATCAGATGTACAAAACAGAAACCAGAAATCACCACAAATTACTTACTGAAGTTTAGTTGACACTGGAGTCCCTGTCCATTGAAGAGCATTGTTTATACAACAATGATTTTGCATGGGAGACTTATTAAAACAACACTTTTCTTCAACCTCATCACAACAGTCTCAAGTATGCAAAAAAAAAAAAAAGTTTTACAAATCTGCAATCTTTTGGAGCATAGTGCTTTGGGTTAATGAGTCAAAGTTAGAACTTTTTGACCACAACAATACAAGAGACTTTTGGAGAAAAAGAGATGAAGTATTTGAAGAAAAAAAAAACACCTTGCCAACAATTAAATATACAGAAGGTTCTATGATGTTCAGGGATTGTACAGTAGCCAGTGATACAGGAAATACTGTATGCATGGAAGGAAGAATAGATTTAACTAAATATAAAGGTATCTATATAAAGCAAATTACTACTAACTAATAAATTACTAAAGTGTAAAATTTAAAGAAAATTAATTGCAGGGGAAGCTTAAAAATCCACATGTGCATCAAACAGCGGATACTTTTCCAGATAAATCCAGTCCTTTCCTAAAACACATAGGTGGAAGTTTTGAGTACTGATCTGTGTATATGAAAGACAAGTATAACTATTTGAGTATCTTTGGGTATACAGTTACATATCTAATTCATGAAAAGGGATGTATAAATTAATTTTAAGCAAGCCCAAACTTAATAATACAAAAAGTTAAACTACAATAAAGATTCTTTTTGAAATTGCAGCTTCAGCAATAAATAATTATGTCAAATTTGAAAATAGGCCCAGTCCAATATAGAGAGTCCTAAGAGGTTTTAAGGACTCCCTATTATACAGAATTTCAATATGTAGACACATTATTGATGTTTCAAAGAAAGAATAATTTTCTTGGTATGTAGAAGCTGGGTTTTTTTAATGATGTGGCAAAACGAAATGTTTGAATAGCACATAGTAGCATTTGTCAAAGAAAAGCTTCTCTATGAACAGAAATCTATTTTGGCATTTGCTGCATTGAGAAACTGGAATTCAAAAAGGATCTTCAAATATCTATCAGTCTCTCTAAAAGATAACTAAAAGAAACTAAATTTGGTCAGTTACTCACCCTGACTATTACTTCCTTTCTACAAAGAAAATGTCAAAAATCAGTCCAGATTTTGGTGATGGAATATGCTAACCTATCAAGAAAGAATATATGATATTTGCAGGAAACTCTTTTTCAACACCTCATTAGTTTCTTTATGGTGATAGTACCTGAGATATAATGCTGCCTGGTGAAGGGAAATTTCAACAGATTTATAGACTGCATAAAGCAGGGCGAAAAAGATCAAAATTATCTTGGAAGAATGGTAAGCCTGGCTCAAAAATCCAGGATGAAATTTCAAATAAAGGCATACAAATTTGAGAAAAGCCAATTTGCATTCTGACTGGAGGAAAGCAAACAAGAAATTTAAAGAATGAATTAAGTAGTAATGCTACTTTTAATGCAATCAATGATCAATTGATTATAAATCAGATGCATGCTGCAACAAAGGATTAAGATGATGTTGAGTGCTTAATCACAAAATTCCAGTGAGAAATTCAATTTACAGTTCCACTAAAGGTAGGCTAGGAAAAGAGGCAATTCCCCTACTTTCCTGAAGCCTCCTATATATACCAAAAGCTCATCATGGAAAATTATGTTATGTTATGTTATGTTGACAACTCTAGAGAGCAACAGGGAAGAGTATCCTATTGTGCAAGCAGGTGTCAACTCAGATGACTCTGAATTTCACCCATTATTAATATTATTTTTCCCCCCCTGCCCATTTTTAAATGCTAAAAAATAATAGTTCTACTGATTGTACACATTCTCTACGTTCTGTATCATTAGTCTTTCTAATCCTAAGATCTTCATATCCAATTTCACAACAGTGAATGGCTATCTCCATCATAACAATTATTAGCATTTATCAGAGTCAATTAGCTTTTCTCAAGATGGACAGTGAAGTAGTTCCAAAACTATACTACTGCTCACACTCTGTGTAATGGTATGTGGAAATGTCCTTGGAAAACAGGAAGAGCCCTGCCTACAGTCTAATAAACAAAATTTGAGTCTGAAGGAGGAGGGGTGGTGAAAGCATCTCAGAAGGGACTCTCCCTGCTTTTGGGGAGAATAACAATGAACATAGGTAGGGTTACTTTCATGCTTGCAAGATTGATGTCAGCTTTGCGAGGTAGACTAGACAAGAAGCACAGCCAGAAGTACTAGATGTCTTTATTTGCAATAGTAATAGCAATAGCACTTAGACATATATACTGCTCCATATTGTTTTACAGCACTCTGTAAGCAGTTTACAGACTCAGCATATTGTCCCCAACAATCTGGGTCCTTATTTATCAAGCTGGGAAGGATGGAAGGCTGAGTCAACTGTGAGCTGGTCGGAACTTCTAGCTGTGGGCAGAGTTAGCCTGCAATACTGCATTCTACTTCCAAGTTTGGAAGTATTCCTCACTTTTTTCACTTTTAGGCTTCCCAAAACTAGAGATGGTTTTGCCACTCCTCTTCCTTTGGACTCAAATTTTATCAGTTCATTGTATAAACGGCAGCTCTTCTCCCATCTCCCAATATCATTCCCGCATACCATTACATCCTGTCCTTCTCACCTGATCCTTGTCTTTGTCTTTATTTTTGCACTTATTGTAAAAACAAAAGCAAACAGCCCTGTGCCAAGTAATAAGTGTCTGGGAAGCCAGCTAAGGTTGGCAGCCTGACATTTATAGTGTCAAATTGCAAAATTGAAAGTAAGAGCTGCAAAGCTGAAAAGATGTTCATGGAAACCCGTCCACATAATACCACAGCAGAAGTCATGTTCAGGTGGAAATGTTATCGGAGCATAGACTAAATATTATCAAAGCATGGACTGTATCCAACTCTGAGCATCACACTTTGAGGGGGTAGGTAAATTAAAATACATTACTGGCATAAAAAAACAAGGCCTACAAGAACAAAGTTGATGGGATTGGATATCTCTTGCCTCAAGAAGAAAAGGACTGAAAGAAAATATGGTAGTACTATTCATAGCCCTTAAATGTCTTACAGAAGATCTGAAATACTTGTGTATGGTGACCTAGAGCTGAAGACTCAATCTAATAAACTTAAATTAAGGAAAATATATTACTTGCATATGTTAAAAATCTGAATGTGGAAGGGAAGTAATGACAGTGCAGCGTGGTGCAGCACTCTTGTCTTCTATGTAGTAGCTTAGCCTTGGTAGCATATTAGCCATATATGCTGGGTATTATTAAGCATCATTACTTTGCCCTTGGCTAGCCTTTCCCATCCAATGGGTACCAAACATGCAGGTCAACTTCCAGGATTCCACAGCTAGTGAGGCAATTTCTGAGAATCCTACAAGATGAACTGCAAACATCTGAAAGACACCAAGTTTGGGAAAAGCTGCTCTAGGTAAAGTTTGCTCACACTTCCAAATCTAACAAAAATGTTTAATTTTTCAATAATTTCTGTCCTATCATTCAATAAAGAGATGATACCTATATGACTGGCATTCTTATGTAGTTCATTTAATCTTTGCAGCCTTTCTTCATTTCTGGCTTTTAATTGATCTATGTTGACAGTAGAATTCGAGTGGAGAGAGCTGTTGTCAAATTGTGGTGGTGGAGTCCTCCTATGAGAAGCATCATCCTGAAGATATAGAGAATTATGTTAAATTGAATTATTATGAAATTCTTGCCAAGTCAATATTACTGGAATTGCCAAAATAACCACATTTTCAACTGAAATAATTTACATACCACACAGAAACATTATAAACAAAATGCTAGTTACTTCATCAGTTTGTCAGATGTTAATTTTCCCTAAGTTATCTCAAGATACTTTCATGGTTGCTGATTAAATGTCTAATGTAGACTTTGATTTTTGTCCTTTCCTCTATACTAATTATGTTATCATTTTGCTTATTATCGTTATTATTACTATATTGGGTTGGAAAGACGGACTATAGTTTTAACTGATATTTTCACAGTTGTAGATTAGCCCAGTAGCCATCACTCCTTAATTCAATACTGAGCTCTACTGTCAGGAAATATAGAATAAAAAAGATATTCTAAACCAGGGGTCCCCAGCCGAGCTGTGGAAGCAGTGAGCAACCATGCATGCATGTGCAGCTACACTTGCATGAGATGGGGCATGCATGCTTGCTGCTTCTGCAAATGGAGCTATGCATGCTCACCCGCCACTCATATGAAAGCATCCCCTCCCCCCCCGGCGGTCCACAAAGCCAGAAATGTTGGATACCAGTTATAAATACACACACAGAGAGAGAGAATTTAATTGAATAAGGCTTGTTAAAATAAACAGATGGTAGAATTTGATTTCAGTTAAGATTTAGGTTCACTAAGCTTCAATGGGGAAAAAAATCGAATAAATTCCTTTACCTTCTTCTTCTCTCTCCTTCTTTCTCTTGCAGATACAGAGGGTGAAGGAGTTATATTCATATTGTAGTTATGCTCTTCTAAAATTGGGTAAGTTTCACCATCTGTTCCTAGAAGAAGCCAGTGTCAAAATATAAATTCATACTAATTTTTAAGCAATATTCGTGGAGAAATTGCAAAGTTAGTTTCTGATCTATATTAGATAACCATATACAGATAATCCTCAGCTTATGACCATTCATTTAGTGATTGTTTGAAGTTGTAATGGTACTGAAAAAGTAACTTATGACCGTTTTCATACTTATGCCTGTTGCAGCATCCCCGTGGTCAGGGGATTAAAATTTGTCCACTTAGCAACTAGTTCATATTTATGAGGATTGCAGTGTCTTGGAATCATTGTGGTCATCTGTGATCTTCTGACAAGGAAATCAGTGAGGAAGCCAGATTCACTTAACAATTGCAGTGATTCACTTAACAACTGTGGCAAGAAATGTCGTAAAATGGGGTAAAACTCACTTAACAACTGTTGCTTAGCAATAGAAATGTTGGGCTTAGTTGTAATCATAAGTTGAAGACTACTGTATTATGGAAAAGCAAGACCAAAACCATCTCCAATAACTTCATTCAGTGAAAACCCTTAAAGAACTAATTTAGAAGATGCTTTAACATACTACATTCAAACTCCTATCACTGTATTTCTGAATAATAGAAAAGTATTAAATGTATCTATAGAAACCCAGAAAACTGAAATAGCTGAAAATCAATTGATTCTATTCTTACAAATGTAGAATGATATATATCTTTCAAACAAACAACAAATATTAGCTATGACTAAAATGCTGCATAAACTTGAGAAGAATGACGCATATATACAAAATAGTTCTTGATAAGTAGTCTATCAAATGTAGAAATACTAAAAAGATAAAATCACCAATAAAAGCACTCTCAGATTCCAGGAGTGAGGTTTTCATAAATTCATCTGAGTCTGCATCTCTAATCTACAAATGAAAAGCAACAGAAAAGTCAAGTTAAATCAACAGTTTATTTTGTTTAACATTAATAACATTTTTTCCATTATTCCCACTTGTTCCTATATAACCTTTCAGAAATAATGGCTGCATAATGCTTATGTAATCTGGATCTTGACTTAATATATTATTAAATAAATGTAACACAGCACTGAAAAGTTACCTTTTAAAAAGCAAGCCACAATTTCTTTTCCATATATCTTTCATTCTGCAAGTATATAATCTTTGGACTACCCTGGAAATACGTACTCATTCAGAATAAATTTTATTATATTATAATGTTATCCTTTTCTATGTCTCTTCATTTTAAGTAAAATCTCATTTTAATTGAATTCAATGTGTTATGAATGTCTCCCTGTGAGGTTGTTGTTGTTTTTTTGTTTTGTTTTTGACAACAATGTGCAAGTGGTCTTTCACTGCCTTATTCCAAGATTTGGAAAAGTTTCAATAGTTGAAACTTTCTTAACAATGGATCTACTGCAGCCCATGGATCACTTTGGTTCTCCTTTGTGCAGCTTTTCCTGCTCTACTATATTTATTTCAAAGTGAGACATCTTTAATTTTTTATGTCTCAGTTTATCTGATATTCACATCTCCAGTTTGGAAAAAATACAAAATAGCTTATGTCTGAAACAATAATGATCAAGTTATTTTGAGTGTATTCAACAAAACATGTTCAACTTTCACTACTGAGGAAATATTTTAAACTCTCTCTCAAAGAGTTTTGAGAAATTGTTTTTTAAAATATAACTAAAGATCCTTTAGAATACTGGTCCATGTTTCAGCTTTCTAATTACAGTGAAATGTGTAACAATTAAACAACTATTCAATACTGTTAATAAGTGTTCACAATGTGAATCCCAGTCCACACTGATCCGCACTGTTGCTTTCTACAGAACTGAAGTTCCCAGAAGCCTTTGAAAATTATACTATTGTACATGCAACCCATGATATCACTTTCTTAGACAAACTAGATACCCATTAAAGAAGTCATAGAGACAACCTAGGTGGGACCAGCCAGCACAAAAAAACATGGAGCCATAATCCTTGTATAACAAAATGAAATCTCTAATGAAAAACTGAACATAAAAGGCAAAAGTTCAAGTAATATGAATTAGTATATCCACATAAGTTCACAAAGTTATTATTTCCCACAAGGAATGAAAATTGAGTAAATTAATTGTATTGTTGCTCACCAATCCCTTGTCCCTTGATCTAATGTTAGATACTGGCTCATCAAAATCTAGGGAACCTAATAAAACAAACATATTGATAAGGAAAACAGAAGTAAAAACCAAAGGATCCCGACAGTGCTCCATAATACTAGAATTCAGGAATATAATAAATATTATCAAAGCCATGTATTCAAAATCACACCAACAGCAATATAATTTTACTGAGAAATGGTAATTTTTAATGTTAATAATTATAATTACATGCAAATAAACAAAATTGTTAGTGGAACAGGAATAAAGTAGAAAACTGAATATATTATCACAAAACCCTGCAATCCATTAGATATTTATTGAGGAACTCACATAAAAATAGGATTTTTCTTGTAAGTTCCCCAAAGTTTTGTGCATCTCTCTTCACTCATTTTTTTCCCTTTTAAATAAGCTGTTTATCAATATTCAGCCAATTTGCAAACACCCAAAATATGGATAACATATTGTTAACATATTTTTATATTATATTTGTTCAGCAGTGAAACAACTTGTTAATTTTCTTTTTTGTACTTTGTGCAATTCCAATTCACAACAAGAATTAAAATCCCTAATTGAAGATTCCCTTGTTGTTAATTTTGAGATCCAAGACTTCTAAAATTAAAATCATCACCAAGATGGAGTCTGCCAGAAACCTATTTTAACAGAATTTGAATACTGTAACTATGAGAAACAAGAATGCCAGACTTTTGCCCAATAAAGGGAGATGGAGATGTCCCCTAGAGATGTAGGGAAACACCTACATATTCATTTGAACTGCCTGAACTTCTGATTTACCCGCACTTGACATAAATATTTATATTTGGGGTATAAGTGGATATGTGCAAAGACCAAAATAAAGATTATGAGCTAAATTAAAGCCATGAAAGACACACTTACTTTAGGCAGCCCTAGCTTACCTTCTGCATTTCTCCTCATTTTTTTAAGTTTCTTTTTTTGCTCTCTTAGCAATGCTAGCTGCTGAATGTCCAGAGAATCATTATTGGTGGGAGGATCAGGATACATATATCTTGTTTCTACTCGTGTTTCTGAATCTATTATATAAAATAAAGTGTTTAGAAGTCTCATATCTTTTTCTTCAAACACACATAACTGATTTAAATAATTCTCTGCCAACAGATTTGAACAGAAATATTTGGGAACGGGGGAACTAAATACAAATGATCTATATATTCAATGACTTTATCAAACAATTACTAATTGAGATAATTTGCCTTACCTTTTTTATCTGCATTTTCAATTGTTTTAAAAAGCAGTGGTAGAAAACTATATCTCAGTGGTGGCGAACCTATGGCACGGGTGCCAGAGGCGGCACTCAGAGCCCTCTCTGTGGGCACGCGTGCCGGCGCCCCAGTCCTAGGCCTTCAGCTGGGTTTTATAAAACCTTTTCGCTTTAGGCCTCCACCGCCTTGTGCAAAAAAAAAAAAAAAAGGTTCAATCAGTCAATTTCAACTTCTCGTGGGAAAAAAAAAAGATCTTGCAAAGTTGGAATTGATTGATTGAATTTTTTAGTTCCACCCAGTCTGCCGTTACCACTGCAGCCATGCCCACCCAATGGGCCACACCCAGCCAATGGGCCACACCCACCCGGCACTCAACGATGCATAAGTGGGTTTTGGATTGCAGTTTGGGCACTCAGTCTCTAAAAGGTTCGCCATCACTGCTATATCTAAATAAATTTAGCAAAATAAAAAACCAAGAATTAAATATAAGCTGCTACAAGATTCTAAAGATAGAGGAGGTCTGGGTTTGCCAGATTTTAGATTATATTATGATGCTTGTTGTCTGGTATGGTTAAAAGATTGGATAACTGTAAAAAAATTCAAGGCTATTAGACCTTGAAGGTTTTGATTTGAGATTTGAGTGGCATGCCTATCTGTGGTATGACAAAGGAAAAGTTAACCCTGGTTTTAAGATTCATGCTATTAGGCAATCAATTGCATGTGTATGGTGGAAGTACAAAAGAAGATTAGTTGATAAAGGGCCACTATGGCTATCACCTCATGAAGAACTACACAGCACAGAGATGATATTGGAATGTAAATGTATGACTTATTGAGACTTATTGATATTTGAAAAAGAGGGATTCAAGATAAAAACAAGAGAACAATTAGTAAGTGAAGGATTTACTTGTGATTGATTTAATTATTATAGAATTTTTGAAAGATTTAAATTTAATAAAAAAAAGTTTTGTTTTCACGGGAACTAAATCTGAATTGGACATTAATTTATGTTCTGGAGATGATCACGATTTCTAAAGTATATAAAATCTTACTCAAAATGAATCTGAAAAATTAATACATTAAAGATTGTATGGTAGAATGGGCAAAAAAAATGGGTATAATATAACACTAGATAAATGGGAGTATGTATGGACAAATGGATTAAAATTTACATTAAATTATAACTTGAAAGAATTTTTTTATAAAATGATGTATCATTGGTATTTGACCCCCAGATAGACTAGTGAAAATGTAATTTCTAATAAGTGCTGGAAATGTAATCAAAATTCAGATTCAGTTTACGATATCATATGTTGTGATCTTGCAAATGTGAAAACCTACTGAATAAACATAACAAACGACAATGCAGAAAATATTTAAGATACAAATATTGTTAGTGTTTTGTTTTGTTTATTTGTTTTCCTGCTTTGTATTTTATTTCTTATGATAAAATAATAATATTAAAAAAGCAGAGTCTAAACTATGAGCTTTTGGGGGACTTCCCAAATCCTAGGTTAGTTTTTATTTTCCTCAAGTGCCTCCATTTTTTTTGCATGTTTGCCTGTTTTGCAAAGTTTGGAGGTTTCTTGCTTTTATTTATAAGTAGTCCTGTTTGGACTATTTGTTTTTGATGGCTGAAATAAATATTTCAGTGTGTTTTCCTTGTTTACAATTTCAGCCAGTCTAGTCTGTTCCTTCCCTTGATCCCAATGTTATCCTTGTTTTTCCTTTGTCAACCATCAGGCAATATTCTATATCTACTGTAGTTCCAATTGGATTCTTTCCTGTTTTTTGTTCTTGTTACACTCGGTGGGAGTTATAAAAACATTTTATACTTTGCAAGCTCCAAGTTTCCATGTCTGCTGATAAATTTTCTCTGTATGTTATCAGCATCATTTTAACTACATGTAGAGTAGAAAACTAAGATCGCAATTCATATTTTTTTTTACTGTGGTACACAGAGAAATGCTGAGAAAGTGATTCTGATGCTTGTTGCTTGATTCTTTGACATCATTTCAGAGTTTTGTCAACTAACCTTTATATTTAAGTTCATTAAATTCACGGATATTCTGTAGATTAATAGGATCAGCAATCTCCTTTGAAGATGGTCGCCTTACTGGAGCTTGCATGCGGAGTCTGGCCATCTCAAATACATCCAAATTCTGTTTTTTCCTACGAAAGTTACCAAAATCATGCATAAAGGTAATCCAAATTTCAAAAACATACAAGTTCCGTTAAAATTAAAAAAAAATAGAATGAAACAGATGATAAAAATAGGTCTAAAACAAAATGAAAAAATGTTCCAGTTTTGTGAATTCTAGAAAGTCAATTAGAAAAGACATGGAGAAGCCAATTTTTACAATTTACTAATAAAAACACTACATACAGTAACAACTGTGACCATATGCATTACCATGTATTATTTTAGGTTTTAGGTTGTTTTAGGGAAATAGTTTCCATTAAAGTTTAATTATTAATGGTGGTTATAAACTAAGAAATACAAATCCTCTCCAAGATGAAAAAGTTAAATATACCAAGTATTTCATTAAGCAAGGCAGCCAGGGAGGGAACTGTTTGATTAAGTTATAATATGTCGTAGAAAAACTTGAATCCCCAACCTAAATACAAACAATTAACAATGAACTAAAATAAGCAATTGCTTAAGTCCAGGAATGTCTACTTGAGCCCAACTCTTAGCCTCACTCTCAGACAATATGGGTTTGTTTGGTTGTTGTTGTTTAACTATAAAGCAGAACTTCTTTAGATCATAAACAATTTCAGAACCAGATTCATCACAGCCTTACCTGATATTCCACTATAGGGCAGGTCCAGAAGAAAGAATCTATAGGAAGGAGATTTCCCTTCAAATTTATATAGAATGTGTTTTAGGTCTCTCCTAATGAAAGAATACCAATTCACATACAAAAGAACTAGGCCGCGGAAGCGGCAGGTGAGCACACATGCACAGCTCCACTTGCATGAGCAGCAGGCAGGCGCAGTCGTGCAAATGGAGCTACGCGTGTACCCACCTGCCACTCCCACCCCCAGGTTAGGGACCGCTGAATTAAAGTATGCATTACTTTCCCCAAAGAAGTGTGTATTTTATCAAATGACTTGTGACAAACCAAACTCCTTACCCTTTCACTGGCATTTCATCATCATCACTGTGAACTTTTAACAACTGTTCCTGTAGTCGTCGCTCTTCACTGCGGAGCTGCTTTCTCATCTCCGAAAGTTCATTTATTACATTCTTTTTTTCTTCTGCAAATTCAATATAACAATAATTAGATACAGAATGCCCAGTATTCATTTTCTCTTTAGAAATATTTATTCTGGTTATTAGCACAACCAAAGTAAGAAGAGTTATAGATTTCTTACCATATGCACGTAATTGATTTCTTCTAGCTGGCACTGGTGGGGACTGAACTCTGGGGACATCCTAGGAAAAAAATAAAATTTACATTTATCTAGGGGGGGGGAAATCGCATCCATATAAAGAGAAATAGCTCACTTTTACTGACTTTGTTTTCATGTACTATAACGCCTGATTACATATGATACTAACAATATAACTCAAATTCATGTTATTTTTAATTAAATATTAAATATTGATGGTGGAAACTACTACACACAGAGAAAAGACATATAATCATTCATCTCTCAGTTACATTGTCAATAACCATAGTCACCAAGTCTTTTCCAGAACATTTAGTATTAAGAAAGAATTAGCCATTGATTCTATGGATAGATATTTCCTTAATGCTGTATTGGGAAGATGTTCCTTTTTTAAAAAAATAAAATAAAATATGTCTAGCTCTATCAACTCCCCATTCCTATCTGCCTTTATTTTTTAAAATTATTATTAACCACACTGTAGAATTATACATTTAAGTCATGGAACATATGCTATCAGCTGAAGAAAGCAAAATTAGATTTAAAGTTGCCAGGTTTGAAAAATATTCCTCTCAACTGTAGCTAAAGTAATGTCAACACAGAATTATTAAACATCACTAAGGAGAATAAATATATAAATTAATATGTTGATATGCCCTTACCCCAATTACTTGCAATCTTTCAAGAACACAATTAGGAAAGTCAATGCTAAAAAATAATTCCTGAATTACATCTGTATAATAAGCAAACATACCTGTGTGTAATAAGACAAACGACTCTCCATCAGAAGTGTCCTTTCTTCTTTTACTAATGGTTTACTCTGAAGAGTTGGTATAAGAGGAGAAGGGTGTCGAGGAATCTGAAAAACAAAATGAGCAGATGAAAATGTGCACTTCTAAAACTGACCTCAACAAGTACAGTTGTTAAACCATAAATATTATTATATTTTTATTTTCTTTTGACACAATATATATTCATTAATAAATATTCTGATTTGGCTGTATTTATTTTTAAGGTGAAAACAAGAGGTTTTTTTAGGAACCTATTTATGAAAACTGATTGTCAAATAATATATACAAAATTTACATTTTTGTAAGCAAAAAATATTGACTGTGACAATAGCATTCTCTCTTGTTAATACTAATAGAAGTTCTAGTTTCGGATAAAGTGAACTCAACTGTATTTAAAAAGTTAAACGCTATTTAAAAAATTAGAATACACAAAAAGGAAAACTATGGTAGAAACCCTATTCTAGAATAAAACTGTGTAAATGTGGCAGGGCCATATAATACTTTCCTGATGCTCTCAGCCTCCAAATTTTTCAGACTGTCAATCTGTAATTCTGGTCATATGAATTTGAACATGATCAGAACAATACACAATTAGGGCATAATATCATCAGAAACCTAACACTGTAGAATCTATCTCAAGACCACTCTTTCAGAACTAATGTATGCATTTCTTCTACCTGGGACTGGAGGAGACTGAATTCTGGGGACATCTCAGGAAAACATTAAAAGGTTATCTAGAAATAAATCACATACATTAAAGACTGTTCAGTTCCCGTAACTTACTCATCTTTAATTTCCCTGTTTCCTTTTCTTTAATGTCTGATGGATGGAAGGTAAAGGGATATTGATATAAATTATTGTGAATAATATAAAATTTCTATAGGCTTTTTTGTACTTATGACATTTGTAATCGTTTGCCATTATAATTCGGTTAGGTAAATTTACTTTGTGCTATCATTTGATTTTAAATGTATACTTGCCAAAAATAAATCTCTCTCACACTATGAAATGAAAATAACTGAAATTTGGCATGTTAAGTCAAATGTATTCTATAATACTAATTTTAAAAAATGGAAATCACTATCCTTAGCTCTGAGTATGTGGGGAAAGGGGGTAAAGAGGAAGCAGAATTATAAATGGGCTTTTCTTTTGCATCGATCTTGCATCTGGTGAACCCCAGTGGCACACAGTGGTTAGAATGCAGCACTGCAGGCTACTTCTGCTGACTCCCGGCTGCCAGCAGTTTGGCAGTTCGAGTCTCACCGGCTTAAGGTTGACTCAGCCTTCCATCCTTCTAAGGCAGTGGTTCTCAACCTATTTAATGCCGCGACCCCAACCGGTCGTAAGTCGAGGACTAAACCGGTTGTAAGTTGAGGACTAAACCGGTCGTAAGTCGAGGACTAAACCGGTCGTAAGTCGAGGACTACCCAACCGATCGTAAGTCGAGGACTTTCCCTGCCCGGGAGCGCTGTGCATGCGTGGTTCCGCCCCCTGCGCTGGCCGAGGCGTAGCTGGCAAGCAGCAGAGACGGAGCAGGCCGACCACCAGCTGGCCCAGCTCAAGGGAGGTAAGGCACCCGCCGGAAAAGGGGGAAAAAATGGCAGACAGCCTTGCTTGGCGACCCCCGTGAAATGGTCGATTGACCCCAAATGGGGTCGCGACCTATAGGTTGAGAACCGCTGTTCTAAGGTCTGTAAAATGAGAACCCAGATTGTTGAGGGCAATATGCTAACTCTGTAAATAGCTTAGAGAGGGCTGTAAAGCACTGTGAAGCGGTATATAAGTCCAAGTGCTATTGGCATTGCTATCTATCTTGCAAATTTTAATCAATACATAAACAATGGCTGTGTGGGATCCAATAATCCATTGCCCAGACCACTGGGCACAAATTCTCACTAACAAACTTAAAAGTTTTCCCTGCCCTATTCTTTATACCTACAAAATGCATTTGCAAAGTGCTATATGTAAACCTGACATTCAGTCAATTCAGTATTGAAAGAAAAACATAATGCTCTAATGTGACAACTACCAAACAGGACCTGGACCATTATAGAAGTCACTGTCCTTTAAAGAAAGAAATTCCAGCAGTTATGCTGTGATCACCTAAGCCTCAACAGCACAACCCAATAAAAGCTAAGACTGTTCAATATATTCACCAATGTTCTATAATACTTTGAACTCTTATGAATTATGCTGTTAAATATTTTAGATGTGATTTATGGAAACATTAACACAAAGTTGAATTTGAGTATTCAGATCTTAATCTAGGGAATGTCTACAAGTAATCCTCAACTTACAATTGGTCATTTAACAACTTTTCAAAGTTATGACAGCCTCAGAAAGGATGCTTTATGGGCTATAAAGCACTTCCAGTCATCATAAAACATAGAGTCCTCTCCTGCAGTCACATGACTATATTTCAGGTAAACCAGCTCATGGTGAACTGAAGAAACTTTTTAGATGAGAAGTGAAATGTCTTCAAAGAAAAACAAAGAAACCCCAGTTGTCTTTCAATAAAGCACCTTTGCAGTCCCCAACTTCAAACATTCCAATGTTCTATGCCATTAAGATTTTTTTTTTATACTATGTAAGTTGTTTTGCAATTTCTTTTACAATAATTATCAGTGCTTTAGATTCAAACATCAAACTAGGAGTTATTCTTATTGATCTCCTGGAAGACCATGCAGTTTTGAGACTGAAGCATTTTGGGATGTGCTTAGAACTGTAGTTCTGAGTTCTATGGAGAAGTAGATGATCCTACTTGGAGCTAAGCTAATATGGACAGAATTTAAGATTTTGTTTTTAAATTACCTTCTCGTCAATCAAATGTTTTTCAGTTTCAATATCCTCTTTATTCTTTTCTTCTTCCTCTATCTTTCTCCTTTCAGCTTCTTTTCTTCTTTCTTCAGCTAATCTATATAAGTCTTCATTTTTTAATCTTTGCTATAAAGATAAAAATGGAATGATACAAACCAAATTTGATGAGATAATAATTGATCAAACTGCATCTCTGAAGTCTTTTCTTAAACTGCAAAGAATGGGAATGCCTATCTATATGTAATATTACCAAGTGCCCACTTGAATCTTTATGTGAGAGACTTGTAAATCAAACTGATATATTTAAAATATTTTCATTTTATATAAATTGTATTACATATATTAATTAATTAAATTACTTCCTGTTTCCCACTTAACAGGAGTTCTCCAATTAAGGAATAGAAACATACATTTTCTTTACTCACATATTAATTAAAGCAAAGTTGGAATGCTAATCAAAAATATGTACATTTTATCTGCCCATTAATCAGACACAAGTATACAATCAAGGAAGATGTCTTTTGACAACTTCCTATGACAAAAAATATGGAGTTTGACTTTTTTTTAAAAAAAAAAACTCCTGATGTAAGGAATCTATTCCAGAACTAGTAATTTATTGTCTCTTTTTGGGGATGATAAAAGTCACTGTTCTCTTCGTGGCAAGAATCAATCAAGTCTAATTTATAATCATACCTCTTCTTCTTTATTTCTCCTCTTTTCCAGTTCCTCTTCATACTCTCTTTGTATTCTAGCTCTTTGCTCAGCTAACTTTCTTTCTTCCCTTTCTTCTTCAAGCCTTCGTTTTTCACGTTCTTCTTCTTCTCTTCTTCTTTTTTCCTCTATCTGGAAGCAAAGTACCATTGTTTTGTTTTTTTCATAAAATTAATTAGACCTGGCTAGATCATTATGACCAACTACTGATCAATGAAAGTCTTTTCTCTTCACAGCAATCTTAATCACTGGATTGTGTCAGTACAGTACCACCCACTCATCTACTATGAAAACCATTGCATCTCTTAGTATTTTTTTATGAAGGTTAGTAGTTATGGTAGACTAACCTTGGATATTCTAATAAAGAAGAGAAGAAGCAGTTGGAATGTCATGATCAGAAATTTAAGTAGGAATTGTGGAATTTCATAAGGAGGATTAATGGGGGGAAAAGGCAAGGGAAGAATACACCGATCATATTGTTAGTTTAGGTTAGGTGAAAAGAAACCAGAGCTCTAAATGATGAAAATATAACAATTCCTAAAGAATACAAATGTAGCAACAGCAGCTAGTATGAAGATGAAAGCCAGTTAAGAAAGAAGTGGTGCCAATATACTAAAAGTATGATAAGTGGATGACTAGCTGCTTATTGTGTACAAGTTATGCATCTGTGCTCAATGTAGTAAGCCATCAGGGAATAGCATTTTATTGAAACCAAAATCCTAAACTATGTGTGCTCAGACAACCAGAAAGTTACTTTGACAATACTAGTAGTCTTTGACTTACAACAGTTCATTTAGTGACTGTTCAAAGTTACAACAGCACTAAAAAAAGTGACTTATGGCCATTTTTCATACTTATGACCATTGCAGCATCCCCAAGGTCATGTGATTTACAATCGTATGCTTGACAACTGGTTCATTTTTATGATGGTTGCAGTGTCCTGGGTGTCATGTGATCATCCTTTGCGACCTTCTGACAAGCAAAGTCAATGGGGAAATTAGATTCAGTTAACAACTATGTTACTGTATTTCCAAGGCGCCTGAAGGCAGGACAAGAAGCAACGGGTGGAAACTAATCAAGGAGAGAAGCAACCTAGAACTAAGGAGAAACTTCCTGACAGTTAGAACAATTAACCAGTGGAACAACCTGCCTCCAGAAGCGGTGAATGCTCCAACACTGGAAGTCTTTAAGAAAAGACTGGACAGCCATTTGTCCGAAATGTTATAGGGTTTCCTGCCTGAGCAGGGGGTTGGACTAGATGACCTCCAAGGTCCCTTCCAACTTTTTATTATTATTATTATTATTATTATTATTATTATTATTATTATTATTATTATTATTATTATTATTATTATTATTACAACTGTAGTGATTCACTTAGCAACTGTGGCAAGTGAAGTTATAAAATGGGGCAAAACTCACTTAACAAATTTCTCACTTAGCAACATAAATGTTGGGCTCATATGTTGAGGACGAACCATAATTTCTAGAATGTAACAGCTTGATTCCATTCCCAGGATGCAGTTCCTAAACTATAAGGGAGAATGAGGGTTGTGGCAGAGAATATCACTTAAAGGATAAGGGAGATGTTCTCATAGAAAGAAAACAGTCCCCGGGTGATGATCTATATTCTTTCATAACTCCTCCAAGAGGTACAGAGTTTTGGTTGTATACAATTCACTCACTAAAACTTATGCCTCATGTAATGGTGGCAAATAATGAAAATTAAAATTCCTCCCAAGCAGTGTTGCAAACTGAAGTGTTGTTATTCAGGGTTTCTTTATGAGGATACTTCACTGTATTCTGTCCACTTCCCCACTAGTCAGTTTTCATATTCTCTAACACTGAACATTTTGTGGTGTCTAAAGAAATTTATCTTGAGATTTTTTCAAAAAATGTTATTTAGAAATTATGATGGGATGATACATTTGCAACTTTTTAATGAATCTATATTTCCTTATTTTAGCCTCTTATATTAGTGTATGGTCCTTTGGGGACTGTGTTCAGTATTTGAAATTGTTACTACTAAATAAAAACATTACTATTTAACCTACGTCAAGCCCAGATCTGCAGCAGTATTTAGAAAATGGAAATAAGCTAAATCAGAAAAACATTTTTCTTTGTTTAATATCGTTACAAATATACTTACCTGAAAACGAAGGAAGTTCTTATATGACTCTTGTCTCCTTAATTGTTCTGGACTTGGGGGCTCTCCAAAAATATTACCCCGCGCAAAAGGGGATGTTTGTGTATATGTAAAGCCTAATTTAAAAAGAAAAAGGAGGGGAGTTGTAAGCACTGGTAATAAGTTCTATCACAAATGCTTTTAAGCTGACGCTAGGTATCTTACTCCAAATAATCTATAATTATGCTGTAATTGAATGAACTGTTATTACCCAATTTAACATATATTTGCAATTAACAATCCAAAAGTATTTTACAAAAGCTTTTAAAGAATTGTTGGATTTTTCTATAGTAGGCACTACCTACCTCCACCG